GCTGTGTATTCTATAGCGTATTACATTTTCTGTTTTATATTGTATTGCAAGTTTGAATATCAGACCTATGTTCATATCCTAGAAAATAAATTTGAAAATATTCACAATACAGTGATGCTCGGACAACCAGCTCACTGAAACAGAAGCTAAACAGTGCCTCCTAAGATCCTTTTTTCCACGGGAGATACTGCAGCCCCAGTTAAGGTGTTCACCATATTACCTTTAAAGTAAGACTTGATATCTAAAACTAAAAACTTACCTGATAAAGCTGACCAGACCAGAACACTTTTGGAGAATATTGCTTACCTACTTAAAAAAAAAAAAAAAGATTTCAATTATTGCTTCTTCTGGTCTTATACTTCTTCCTTGATTCTAATTCATATTTCCTAAGGAATTTGTTTCAATGTGTTCCAAGAATTTTCACCACAAGAAAGACTTAGAAAATATCTCCCTGCCACACACACACACACACACACACACACACACACACCCAAGGTTCCGATGACAAATGTAAGTTAGAGTCTACCACAGTTCACCCTGGAAAACCAATGTGTTCATTAGGCTTATAGGGCACTGAGTGAAGAGTTAGGGGCTCCAGCTTTAGGGGACCTTACCACCCAGGCAGGATGATGGCTTCTTTGTTGCTGTGTAGAGAAAGACCCCTCCCCTAACCTCTCCCAGAGACTCCAAGGCTAGATGCAATTAGGGCACGCAGGAATTGCACATAGCTGGTTGAGAGGGGAGGCTAGATACTCTTGTGAGGGTCTCAAGATCCAACTGGCTCCTTCTTCCTATGAGAAGAAATCAACAGTCAACAAGTCCAGCTGTGATGGGAACTCTGGATGGCAGTGGTTTGGCTTGGACAACAGGCCTGTACAACACAATGTCATTTCTAAACTTACCAAAATAGCATATTCACCTATAGTTAATCTTCTCCAAAGCTCTCATGTTCAGGTTCTCTTTCTTCCCGCTCTTCAGGTTTGTAGGCTTCTTTGGGAATTCTTTTGACTTACTTTTTCTTTTTTTTTTTTTTTCGGTTTTTTGAGACAGGGTTTCTCTGTGTAGCTTTGCGCCTTTCCTGGGACTCACTTGGTAGCCCAGGCTGGCCTCGAACTCACAGAGATCCGCCTGGCTCTGCCTCCCGAGTGCTGGGATTAAAGGCGTGCGCCACCACCACCCGGCTTGACTTACTTTTTCTTATATGGACTACATTATTCTTTTCCTCACACCTCATTTGGAATTGATCCATCTTGATTTACTGTAGGAGTTACATTTTTTTTTTCTTTTCAACTTGGGTGTGTGCGTACAGAAACATGTCATTGTGCAAGTCATAGGGAAACTCCTAGGGATGAGTTACCACCTCCCACCCTGTGGGGTCAGGGTATCTCTTGCTGCCTCAGCCACTGCGCCGTACTCCAGGCTACCTGGCCTGTGAGCTTCGGGAGTTTTCTGTCTGCCTTTCATCCTTCTGCAGAAGGGTCGGGCATCCAGGTGTGTACTGCAGCATCTGGCTCATGTAGGCTCTCGAGCAAACTCAGGTCAGCAGGCATGCACAACTGGCACTCTTGCTGGCTGACCCACCTCCCCAGCCTCAAGTTGTGTTTCTTAAAATCAGATTTTTTCCCAAACCAGATTTTAAAGTTATCTTTCTAGATCAAGGTGGCTTTTTTAAAAAAATACTTAGATTTTGCCTACTGAAGTAGAATAAGGTAGAAAAGGCCAATTATTAAATACTGATCTATTTATTTTTTAGTGATTTACTTAAAGTACTCCTTGTACGGCCTATCTGCCAAGCCTGACTTCACTTGCTACCTGGAACAGAGTGACCTGGAGGACTAGCTGAAATAACGGGCCATTGCCCTTCACAAACTACTGACTGCCACCCTGCCTTGTAGTTTTAGGGCAGCAGTTCTCAACCTGTGGGTCACAAACCCTTTGAGGGTTAAACAATTCTTTCAAAGGGGTCAAGTATCAGATATCCTGCATATCAGATATTTGCATTACGGTTCATAACAGTAGCAACATTACAGTTATGAAGTAGCAGCAAATATAATTTTATGGTGGGGGGGGTCCACCACAACCTGAGGAACTGTATTAAAAGGTCACAGCATTAGGAAGGTTGAGAGCCACTATGTTTGAGTATGAAATGAGAAGACAAGCTGGATCCAGTGTCCAAAGCCTTCCAGGAGCAGTTGTGGCTCCAGTTGCCCACTGATATCTACTCACTTCTACTACCCTTGGTGTCAGGATGCTCATTCCAGAGGGATTCCCCGAAACACTACCACTTTTCCTGGTACACATGTAGGCTGTTTGTTTTATCTTCACCCTTCACAATGTTTCAGACATTAGACATTTGCTTCACTTTCTAACACGATTTGACAGTTTTTAGCTGGCATTTAACCGGACATTCCTGTTGTAATTTCCATCATTTTTTACACTGTGAATTGATCTCTTAGTCAATTGAGTAGGCCTTTGGTGTTTGGAGTATGCTGCAGGAAATAGTTCCAGAGACAGTAGTTTGTTACATTCCAGGACCTAGTGCCTCACATCTACTTTTTGCATTTATTACATTGTTAAAACTCTAATCTCTAGATGCCACAGGTTTTTGTTGCTTTCCTAAAAGAGATCTGATATGATCTTAAGCCAATCTTGACTACCTTTAAAAAAAACTTCCATTTCAGGCTGGAGAGATGGCTGTTAGGTTAAGAGCACTAATTGCTCTTCTAGAGGTCCTGAGTTCAATTCCCAGCAGCCATCTGTAATGGGCTCCGATGCCTTCTTCTGGCATGCAGGCAAACATGCAGACAGAACACTGTGTACATAATAAATAAATCTTAAGAAACAGAACAAAACAAAAAAATATATTTAACTATAATATAATAATATATAATATGATATATATAATAAAAAGAATAAATTTAAAAATTTTCCATTTCTTTGGCCTGGTTTTCCTCACTTTTATTCGTTGATCACACTTTTTCACTTACATACTTTATAAAGCTTCACCCCTGAAATCATTAAGCATCATTCCTTTTTGACTTCTGACCCCAGATCAAGAATTATTCCCTTACTATGTACTTACAGTGTTTTGGCATAATTTAATATATTATGTATTTATCATTTCCTCCATTCTAATCATTCCTCATAATTATCTGCTGTTTCATACTAAACTATTCCATGCTTAGTACTAACTAGCACTAAGTATTTTAACATCTTAAATCAGTGGTTCTCAAACTTCCTAACCCTGCACCCTTTAATACCGTTCATGTTGTGGTGACCCAACCATAAAATTATTTTCGTTGCTACTTCATAACTGTTATTTTGCTACTATTATGAATTGTAATGTGAATGCCTGTTTACCAATGGTCTTAGGGGATCTCTGTGAAAGAGTCATTCAACCCCCAAAGGGATTGAAGCCCACAGGTTGAGGACCACTGCCTTAAGCAGGCACGCAAAATTGTAAATTTTATTTCTAAAACTAGACAATGCCTCTCCACACTAAACTTGAAACCTAATTCATAGCTGTTTCTTGAGGGGAATATGTTTAGTGATCTCTTTCCCCAGAGAATATACCCTATATTTAATTTTGTATTCATTTCAGTGTTCCTAGATCCTGAGAACCAAACTTCACCTCAACAATGTTGCTTGAAATTGAGTTTCCCTTCTCGTGATTCAGCAAAGCTGGCACAGTACAGCAATCAGGCTGCCAAATCAAATTCCAATACTAATCCCTACAGTTAGTAAAGACAGCATGACTCTCAAATTCTCAGTTTTTAGGAAAAATATATACCTACTTTGCTAACTTATTTTATGCAAACGATAAAGTATTGAGTACACTGCAGTTATAAAACTTATTTTCAATTAACAGCAGCCATCATTCACTATCCCCACCACCATTTCTTTGTTTTTTTCCATCACTAGTTCCTGAGTGAGGTAATGCAATTACCACTTGCTATCAGCTAATAGAAAAGGCGGTGTTTTATAAATCAAAATACTTGCAACACAGGGTTGATTGGACTTAAAAGTAAAATCTGAGTTTTAAAAATTACATTTTTCAACTTGTCCAAATTAATATTTTACCTTCAATGTTCTAGGTTTAGCTTAGGAAGTCTCCTGGCTACTTTTCCTTTTTACAGTAGTGTCCTGGCCAGTTTTACGTCAACTTGACACAACCTGAAGTCATCTGAGAGGAGGAAGCCTCAACTGAGACAATGCTTCCAGAATATTGGGCTGTAGGCAAGTCTGTGGAGCATTTATTGATGGGGGAGGGCCCAGTCCATTATGGGTGGTGCCATCCCTGTGCTGGTGGTCCTGGGTTCTATATGAAAGCAGGCTGAGCAAGCTTGGGGAACCAAGCCAGAAGCAGCACCCCTCCATGGCCTCTGCATCAACTCCTGCCTCCAGGTTCCCACCTGATTGAGTTCCTGTCTTGGCTTCCTCAGTCAACTGTGACTCAGGATATGTAAGCCAAATAAACCCTCTTTTCCTCTCCAACTTGCTGCAATAGTAATCCCAGCTAAGACAAGTGGGATGGGATTCAACAGATCAAAGTGAACTTTCATTCCGATGAATTATAAACTCTATAAACATACCCACTAGACTGTGTCTGACACAAAGCAATTGTTTTAAAAATTAAACATTTTAAAAATATTCTCTATTTCCTATAAGAATTTTAGTTTTAGTTTAATTTTAAATTTTTTTTTTTTTTGAGACAGGGTTTCTTTGTGTAGCTTTGCGCCTTTCCTGGAACTCACTCTGTAGTCCAGGCTGGCCTCGAACTCACAGAGATCCGCCTGGTTCTGCCTCCCGAGTGCTGGGATTAAAGGCGTGCGCCACCACCGCCCGGCTTAATTTAAAAAATTTTTAATAGTATTAGTTTTAATTTTTTTTAGCATTTTCTTTTCACTTAATAACAAGAAGTAACTTTAAGATCTGAAATAACTATTATCTCCCACTTTCAACGGACATAACTGATAAATAAATACAATGAAAGGCAGGCCTCAGAGTTTTCTCCAGATATTTAATGAACTCAAGAATCATGTAGCCACATTCCATGAAATGCAATTTCCTGTAGTAGAGTCTGCAGCCCTGCTGAGGCAAACAAAAGCATTACAAGATCACTAAAAGCCTTAAACAGATGTATTTCTGTTCTTACCTGCCAGAACGTAGTTTGTGATGTAATACAGAGATAAATAAGATTGTCTCTTGAGTGTTCTCTAATTTTCAGACCTTAAATAGACGAAACACAAAAAACCTCTACTTAAACATATGAGTTCTAAATATTACTTTTACTATAAACTTTTTTCTCTCAATATAGACAGGAAGGCCAGCCTTTGGTATAAATAATGTATTTCCATGACAACACCTAAAGAATACCGCTAGTGTGCACTATCATTGGGGAAATCTTTTGGTAAGGGCACAGCTAACGCCTCTTTACTCTCAGTGAGTGCTCTGGGCTGATGGATGAACACACTGAATTTAACACCCTGGTTGTTGGCAGCTCTGACAAAACCACTATTGGCAGTCATCGTGATGGCTTTCAGGGTATCCCCCGTCCCAAAAATCGTTAATGAACGGCTATTAATCTTTGAACTTGCCACTAGTCTCAAGGCACGCTCAGAAGGCTGGTCTGGTACCACACTGATTCGTTTAATTAGTACAGTGGCCCTCTCTCTCTCTCCTGGTCCCCCTAAGGTATCTAGAATAGACTGAAAATCCTTGACAGCAGATTCACAGGCAAACAACTCCTTGTCCTTCATAAATGCTTCCAGCTGAGGCAAAACCTGCTCTTTCCTCTCTTGCTCGGCTTGTTCTGTGAGAACTTTCTCTTTGAAGATAAAGTGGCAGCCTCCGTAACTCATGGCAGACACATATGTGATTAAAGTCGTGATGTCCAGATTCACTCTTTTGCATACATCAACCTTGATCTCTGTTGGAAATGCAACGTGTGCCAGTACATTTTCTCGGTCCACTCTTGTCACCTGCAGAAGTTCTTGGCCCTCCTCATCGGACTCACTCTCACTCAGCTGTAACTCTTCAGGGTGATTTAACAGAGAGTTGACGGCTACGATGTCTCCTCTTACAGATATGCCCATATCTTTCAGCTTTTCTGCCATGGGGCTAGAGACGCTGTTGTAGAATGCAAACACAATGTGAGGGTTGCTATACTGCACTGGTTGTTGGTGACTGGCCTGAAGGAAGTCTTCAGCCTGCTCAATGATGCTTTTGTCGCCATACTGGCCCCTGCCCAGCCAGATGTTGTGCAGTGCTTCAGCCTTCCGGCCAATAGCTTTGACCCAAGTATGACCTCCATTTGCTACTACGTCCACCACAAGAGTCTGTTTTTCTCCCAAGGTATCTGTGTAACCAAAAACACGAAGAACACTAACAACTTCTTCCAGGTTCTCTGCCGATTCCACAATGGCTTTCAAGTGTGTTAGATTTGTGCTTTGCAAATGGGATTCTTTAATAGCTACCTTCCCAGCCTCTATTTTCTGTAAGAATTTTAGCTCTGCCTTGAGTTTGCTACACAGCTTTGCACCACCTTCTATGCCACCTTTTCTTGATCTGGAAAGGGATTCCGCTCTCTTGATCAGTTCCTTGGCTATGGCAATTCTTTCAGAGAGCATGGAGTGGGCAGACATGCTGACAGCATTATTCCTTTCATGGAAGACCACAAACAGCGACAATCTCAATGTACTTCTATGATGTAATTAAATGATTAAAAAGCCCGATCTAGCAACAGAGTTCAGGAAGGTTGAGACTATGAACTTGGGCTTCCGTGTGAGGGACTTTGGGAGAGCTTGCCTCCCTCCTTTGACAGCAGAAACAAGCAGTATGTTTGAACTCTTCCTCAAGTGTGCTAGATTCTGACACTTGTTTAGACCTTCATTTCTTCAGGCCATGAGATCCGCAGCAAGCCCTATGTCAGGATAAAAAGCAGGAGTTTGGCAATGTGCTCTGTATCTCTATCAATAACTAGTCTTACTATTCAGCTACTGAAAAAATTTTAAAGGTCCCGAACATCAAGATTAAAAGTTTAAAATAGCTTCCCATACACTCTTTCAATTAGGAAACCCCAACAACCATCCCTGCCAAAAGTGCTTGTCCCCAGGAACCTAGACTCTCCCCACCCCCAACTCAACTCTCCCCACTCCAGCCAACCCCACTCCCTACTGCCTACATCTGGTCTCTTCTCCGGAAAGACATCAGACTGTGCCTTCAACTACAACCATCCTCACTATCCAAGGACCCATCCCAACAACTCCTCCCAAATGTCCTGCCTGCCTCCAGCACCTTTTCCCATATCCCTCTTTCAAGTAGGGAGCCAGCAACTCCTGCCACTAACTGCATCCATCCATTCCCACTGAAAGCCCTTGCCCCCATCCCTAGCTGGGTAGCCGAGATTCACCCACTAACTCAACTCTACCCACCCCACTCGCTGATATGCACACCTAGTCCCATTTCTAGGTAGACAGCAGACTCATGTCTCCAACTACACAACCTGATGACCACCTCTCTCTAGGGAGAGGCTTTAGACTGAAACCAGTAACTCCACCAGCACTCACTGCCTGAGGAAAAGTACCGAGTACCTCCCACAGACTCCTGAAGATTGACTGTGAAAATCCTCTCTCTAAAGAAACTGACAGTATGCACAAGACCTACATAAAATCAATTAGCAATAATCACGCCTCGGATAAACCTCATTGGCTATGATACTGCCACTGCGCAAAGCTAAGACCTACATAAAATCAAACCAGAAAAAAAAAAACCCAGCATAGGGAAGGGGAAGCGGGCACAAAGTTCCATCTCTTACCAAGACACTATTTGCAATTCATTACTGCTGGGGGAGGAAATATTAGTTTTCTTCAATGGAGTGACACTGTGTATATCATCTGAACTCCAGGGCAAGCCTCATGCTCAGGAATAGTAAACCAACACAATACGGACTCCATGTTTTTTGTGTGCTTTGTTTTTTGTTGTTTTGAGACAACATGAATTTGGGTGGGAGGGGAGGGAAGGCATATCTGGGAGGGGAAAGACTATATAAAATATATGAAAAAAATTTATATTAAACAAAACAAAAAAACTTTTCAACACTGAAAAAAGATATTGAATAGATATCAGAAGTTGGAAAGACCACGCAAGTGTTGTTGGATTAATATTGTGAAAATGGCTATTCTACCAAAAGCAAACTACTATATTCAACACACTCCCCATCAGATTTCCAAAACAATTCTTTACAGAATTTGAAAAGCAATATTAAATTTCATACGGAACTACAAAAAAATAAATTAATAAATAAAACCCAGAATAGCAAAATCAATCCTGAACAGCAAAAGAATGGCTGGAGGTATCACCTCAAACGTCAAGCCATACTACAGAGTTCTAACAATGACAACAGCAGAGTGCTAGCATCAAAACAAACTCATTGATCAAGGGAAAATAAATCGAGGACCCATATATGAAGTCCCACTCCTAAAGCCACGTGACTTTTGACAAAGACGTCAACAATACACACTGGAGAAAATAAAGCATCTTCAACAGACGGTGCTGGTCCAACTGGACAGCTAAAGTGGAAGAGTGAAACTTGATCCCCATCTCTCACCTTACACAAAACTCAACTCCAAATGGGTCAAGGACCTCAACCTAAGATCTGATATCCTAACTCTCTCTGATAGAGGAGAGAGTATAGAACATACTAGACTCATTGACATAGGAAAGGACTTTCTAAACAGGACCTTTAAGACACAGACATTAAGAACAATAATTAATAAAGGAAACCTGAAACTAAAACATTTCTATTCCATAAAAGATGCCATTACCTGAGTAAAGAGGCAGCCTACAAAATGGGGGGGGGGGGGGGGAGAATGCCATCTATACACCTGACAGAGGGTTAGTGTCTAGAATATATAAAGAACTGAAAACATACCCATGGAGGTCAGGACATTACTAAAGAACCATAGGGAGGGGCTTTTAAGGGAGGAGAGATAGAATACACTGGTGTTAAGGGTAAAATGGAAAAATGGTACAGGAATGACTAAACTAGGGTGAGAGTGGAGTGTAGGGTAGAGGGAAATAATAACACTAATGACCTTTCAAAAAAGACACATGGAAACCTACTACATTGACATTCATACACACACACACACACACACACACACACACACACACACACACACACACCAAGAGTAAAAATGTAGTTACCTTACAACAGAGTGTCATGTGTCCCTGAGACCCAAGGCTAACAAATAAAAAGCCCAGTGTCAGAAATGGGTTACTTCTTTTGGAGCTGCTGGCCAGTGAGTTCCCATAGATCTCCAGACATTACAGGGTATTGCCAATGTTCTTGGTCATCATATAGAACTTGACAGTATGACCTTATTGCTGAAAACACCACCATCTGGGTCACAGAACATGGAGAAATCAGGTTGGTAAACACCTGGAAGTTTCATTCCCACTGGCTAGTTTTCATTCTTCTGCAAGGTATTATGCAGGCTAACAGAAAAGTTATCTTCAATAATATCCAGCTATGAATCCTTGGAGTTACAATTATGACTGGCCTGGCAAGACAGGCCCATCAGTACAATAGCAGCACAAATATCAAGGGAGTAACCAACCACTTTATGGTTGAATTTAAATCCTACCCCACAGGATAAAACCCATACCCGGCATCATTATTAGGCTGAGAACCTGTGCTAGGCAGGTCACAGGCCCTAGAGGAAAACTTACTACTATTATGTTGCTAAATAGACAGTAAAAAACTAACTCCTAGCTGGGCAGTGGTGGAGTACTCCTTCATTCAATCCCAGCACTTAAGAGGCAGAGGCAAATGTGCCTCTCCAAGTTCGAAGCCAGCCTGGTCTACAAAATGAGTTCCAAGATGGCCAGGGCTACACAGAGAAACCCTGTCTCAAAAAACCAATAATAATAATAATAATTAATAATAATAACAAACTAACTCCTAATGACTTATCATTACACCCATAGATGAATGCACCGCTCAACCCTCATCTGAGAAGCTTCTGAGAAGTTTCTATTTATAATAGGTGGTAATTAAAACTGTGATTCACAACTGGTCAAGGTGCAGGGAATGTAAGACTGCATGACTCTCAGCCCTAAAGGGAACATATGTAACATCCTCTCTCCCAAGCCCCAGAGACAGAAGTCGTGGATGATGACAAGAAAACCTCTTCTGGACACAGCAGGGCAGCTGTCTATATGAACTCACATTGGTTGTGTCAGCATGCACAAAACTTGTGCAAGCACAAGCCAGACTAAATACCGAGCATGAAGAGGGGAGTTGGGCCCAGAATCCCTCCACTACCAGGCAACTACTGGCAAGTTTTAGCTGCTGGGAGAGGGAAAGAGAGTTTCTCTAAGAGTATTGCCCCTAGTATGCTACCCACTCTCCAGTGAAAGATCACACATTCAAGACTACTGAAGGAGGGGCAGCGGTAGATGGATAGGGACGGTGTGGTAGATCTGGTAATAGCTGGGGGAGCTAGGGTGAATATGAACAAAACACATGATATGAAATTCTCAAAAGACTAACTGATTTTTTTAAATGTAAAAACAATCATTTAACATAAAGAAGATACAAACTGTTCAAAGCAAGGGTCTCTCCTAAACTGGCAATACCAGGGTCTATCACCTTTTACTCCTTCAGTACATGATCTGTTTCCCTGGCTTTGTTTTTTTTTTAAGACAGTGTTTCTATATGTAGCCCTGGCTGTCCTGGAACTTGCTTTATAGACCAGACTGGCCTTGAACTCGAAGATCTGCCTGCCTCTGCTTCCCAAGTACTGAGATTAAAAGTGTGCACCATCACGCCCGGATAGATGTCTTTTAAGGAGCTGCCTCTTGATTTCCACAGGGTACAGATGCCAAGGAATCAAGACTGCATGATTTCTGCATGTGATGTCAACTTAGCATGTTTTTAAAAGAACAAAGGGGACAACCAATTTGCTTCCCGTTCCCATTCTGAAGGAAAAGCTGGAAGAAGGACTCAAAAGAGCACACAGCAGGGTGGCCAGGCTGGCTTGTTGAACTATAAGCAGGTGGGAGGGCCGGAGGTGAGGTGCTTCTGGGTGGGTATGGTTCCCCTCCCGGTACGTCTACCTGCACAGCTGAGCCTGGCCCAACAGGTCCGGATCAAACAGGCTCCTGCTGGCCCACTGCTTAGAGGCCAGAATAGGGAAGAGGCAGAACTGACCCTTCCTGCCGGGACACCCGGCCCAGCCCCTCCCTCTCTTCCCACCTCCCTCTCTTCCCCACTCACTCCCTCAGACCCCGGATCCTCACCAGCAGCGCCACAGACCCCACGCGCACATGGCGAGGGCACACAGAGGCAGTATGCAGGGACAGCTCACCAGCCAGCCCTCACCTTGCTCTGCTGAGACACTCCGCCTGCTGAGTCCCGCCTCCGGCATTACGTGGTTCCGGCCGGGTGAGCTTGAGCTCGAGTGCAGGCGGCAGCGCAGCGGCCATATTTGTTGAGGGCACCAGTGTGACTGAAAGCTGAGCTGCCAGAGAGCAGAGGCGGGTCTAGGGCTGGGTCTCACTCGCACTGAGTCCTGGATGGTAAAACTTATTTGGGTCTCAGGTTTGGCTATTTTTAACAAAATAAAAACCGGAGAGCCAGCAGAGGCTCCAAACGCCGCTCGGAAGCACTTTCAGTTGCACCATCCTGGCCTTTCATAGAAGCCTTTAAATGTGCTGTCCAGCCGAACAGAGCAGAGAACTGCGTGGCTTCTGACGGGCTGGGAATATTTAGCCAAGTGGAGTGTCCAACATTACCGGAAAAGAAACTGAGAAAGAAAAACTAATTTTAAATATTAGACTTAAGTTGTCATCTTTTTTTTTTTTCCTGGTATCTGCTCCTTGTCCCAAGCGGTAATTGGAGGATAGAAGTTAACTGCAAATCACACTACCCAAATCATCTGAAGACAGGAGCAATGTCCCATTTGGTGCTTACGGTGGGTGGCCAGCGCTATTCCAAATACATTACGCACTGATTTATTTAGTGATAAACTGACGGTAGATACATGAATTTTGCAGCGGAGTCACAAACAAGTTATTTAAACCCAGGTAGCCCCTGGGTTTACATGCCTCCGCTGACACAGCCTAAAACACCTGCCAGGGCTTATCAAGCACAAACTCCAGAAGGGCTTTGGAACCGAACTTCAGGTGTCTAGACGGGGACAGAATTAGAAACAGATTCCTTAAAAGCCTTTGTTAAGAACATACCAGAGTCCTCTCTTCCATCCGGCACAGCTGGTCCATTCCTCATCCTTCCCCAGAAATAAGTTTATGATGATGGAAGGTGGACAAGGGTGCCAGATTAAAGACCAACGAAAGACTGGCCCCATTATTGTGAAGTTTTTCTGACTAAAACTGTGCTACTAGCCTGCTTGCTCCTAGAGTTACCCATTACCCATCCTCCTCCACCTTTCCCCTGGAAACAGTAAATACTTCCATTACCCATCCTCCTCCACCTTTCCCCTGGAAACAGTAAATAAATAAATACATAAAACTCCAAAGAAATCTGACAGTCACAGTATACAAGAAACCAGGTAGGTACCAGGCTTCCAAGTTACCAGACTCATTTACATGCTTCCAAAGATTCTTCCGTTTGGAATTTAGAGGGCAGAGACAGAGCAACAAAGTGGTTTTAAGAAGTACCTTACACATAGAACCTTCAAATGATCGGTTACTTTGGCCCTCAAATAAGAAGTTTCTTCACTTAAGAGATGGCATAGCATAGGAAACAGCTCTTCAAACTTTAAACAATTGACTAGAACGTATAGTAAGACTGAAAAACAGCAAAAAGCAAGTCAGATATCCAATTAACAGAAAATTTAGGTCCTTAATCAAGAAAATTAAATTGAAAAATTTAAATATACTAAAAAATTTACAGAGAAGAGAATTTAATGTTCGCAGTAAAGAACCTGCTTGGGTGTTCGGTGCAATGAACATTAAGAAACAGCAAAGGTGATTGCTTTGGCAGCACATCAACTACACCCAGTGAGCCAGAGATTAGCACGGCCCCCAAGAGAAGGACCAAGTCATCCATATGTAAACAAACAAACAACTCACCAAAGGGTCAATAAAACCACTGTGAGATTCCAGAATACTGAAAATTCCAAAGGCCACAGAGAGGAAAGTATTTCCTCACAGACAAGAACTGTTACTAATAAAAGGGCCATTGGTCCCAGCACTTGGGAGGCAGAGCCAGGCGGATCTCTGTGAATTCGAGGCCAGCCTGGGCTACCAAGTGAGTTCCAGGAGAGGTGCAAAGCTACACAGAGAAACCCTGTCTCAAAAAACCAAAAAAAAAAAAAAAAAAAAAAGGGCCATTGGACAGGTTGCCAGGGAATTAAAATTCTAATGCAAGGAAAGTACTAAGCCCTCCCACTGACTTATCAGTTTACTCTCTGTACAGTGGGCAGAGGTTAGGGCCGGGAAAGCTTGCAAACACTGGCAGGAAAGTCAGTGAGGTTAATACCAAGAGCCAGAAATTTCTGTCTATGATAATTACTGAAATTACAAAAACTCATCAAAGTACTCGGTGCTCCATTATAAAGCAGAGTCCTCCTCATTCTTCCCTTTCCAATTCCCTTCTATCCCCTCAACATACATAAATTTTAATAACATCCATGTTTCTCTTCTAGTAACTTTGTAAACTTATAGTAAGGGATGAAAGACAAAAATCTTTCAGATACGGACTGAACCAAATGTTGGGAGAAGCTATGAACACTGGGAACATTATAATACATAAGATTAAAAGAAACTAAAATCCACAAGCCTAAAGTGATTTGAGAGTTTAAGAATGTTTAGAAATATGATGGGTCCCTACATTAAACAATTGAGTTTCTGAAATAACTGACAAAAAGGAACCAGCTTAGTTTCAAGGCCAATGAAAGAAACTATTTTGTTCAGTTTTGTGGAGAATGGAGTTGTAGGCAGCTCTGCATTTAACGGAGACAGAAGAAAACTAGCCCTGCATCTAACCTGCATGTTACCTCTCACCTCTGTTCTGCAGGACGGCCTCTGCTGCGCCTTTCCCTGTCCTAAATTTATATACCTTTACTTTTCTTTTTCTTTGATTTATAAATGTTGACATTCTTCTGGGTTTCTTCTGTATACCTTTGCCTGTCCTGGAACTCTGTATACCAGGCTGTCCTCGAGCTGTCTCTGCCTCCAGAGTGCTGTGATTAAAGGAGTAAGCCACCATCACTCAGCATCCTGTTTTGTTTAATTTAGACATCAGAGGTCTAAATTGAATAGAAGCTAACAGAAATGCCAGTCTTTTCACCTACAATACCAAATTCAGCCAAAAAAGAAAACAACTCTCTAATTCAATGGTTCTCAGCCTTCCTAATTATTTCCATTGCTATTTTGTAACTGTAATTTTGCTGTTATGAATTATAATGTAAATGTTTTCTGAATGTCTTAGGCGACCCCTGAAAAGGTCCTTCAACCGCCCCCCAAAAGGGTGGCAGCCGCCGGTTGAGAACCACTGCTCTTTACAAACTCAGCCAGTATATTAGTTGACTTTAAAAAACCCTTTTTAATGTTATGCTTATTATTGTGCTAGATTCAAATACACTAAGGCCTATCTAGAGATATGGTGCTCTCAAGACACAACTTTCATTATTTTTAATTTGTGTTTTGTCTGCATGTATCTGTGCACATGTGTGTACCTGGTACCCATAAGGGGATTTCAGCTCCTCTGGAATTGGAGCTATGGATGGTTGTGAGCCACCATGTAGGTATTGGGAACTGAACCCAAATTCTTTTCAAAAGCAACAAGTGCTCTTAACTGATGAGCATCTCTCCAGCTCCTTTAGACATATCTTAAAAGAGAAGGGCAGGGCAGAGGATAAGTCTCACCAGCTAAACTGCCTGCAGTGAAGTGTGAGAACTGGAATATGGATACAAGGTACCCACAGGAATGTGTGGCAAGCATGGCAGCCTTTTAGTCCCAGCATTCAGAAGGCAGAGACAGGATTTCCAGAGTAAACTAGCTATACTAGCTAGTCATCAGGCAAACTCTGGGTCTCAATACATAAGGTGGAGTAACTCAGGAAGGCACCCAACACCAATTTCCACATCACTGGTACCCACACAAACACACATGCCCATATACACACCACACACATGCAATAAATACATGAATAATTCCAGAAGGTCAAGGTGCCACCTTCCCATCTCTTAAAATGTTACTGCCTCCCATTAACAACATATGGATGTATAGTGACAATAGGTAGCAAAACAGCACACATTCTCTCAAAAAATATTCTAAGCTACGTTTTTCTAAAATTTAATGTTGGTCAAAATCTCTTCAATTACTTTTAAGTCACTGAACTGCCTACCTCTTCATACTGATGACATTCATAAACAGTCTGTTCTGTAAGAGTGTCTTTTACCCTATGATGCCTGAGGGAGGAAACGGAATTAGAAGTATACACCGTGCTTCCACAAGGGAAATGGGCTTAAATGCCTAACTGCTTGCTTTACTGCTACTTACAGTGAAGGCTCTTCTCACACTACTGAGGGAGGTGCAGTTCTGACCTTAGTATTTTATTACCAGTATTTACATTCACCCTTAGGAAAGGTCCTTCCACAATCTAGGGAATCCTTTTAAATGTCTACCTACATGAGAAGGAGAAACAAAGAGACTCTCGCACACCATGTTTATTCACTCACATATCTCTGAGAGGAGACCAATGCTGCTGGAGTACAACTTCAGAAGACTCCAGGACATCACTGATCCATACCCAAAAGTGTATATCACAATTCAGTCTGTCTCATGAATTTATCAAAGTATACAGATTCGTTCAGTCCTAAAAGTCATGATGTATATATTAAAACCCAGAGCTGTCTTTTATGGAAACATAGGCATGTTTGGTAGTAAAAGGGGCAGTGAAATCTAATAACGAAAATATATGAAAATTAGAGTGATTTTTATCATTTTACTTTGCAATATAATTTCCAAAATTAACTATGATAAAGTAAGAAAGAAGTATGTTCAAACTTCACTCTTACAAGCTAGAAATTGGTTTTGACAGTTTATTATGATTATTATTTTAAAAATGTGACTCCATTAAACCATGTAGAAATAAGTCTGCACAAACAAAAGGTACTTTACACATGTGTAAGTAGACAGATAGACTGTGTGAGATCTGGGTTGTCAGGCACGTCTTTATCACGCTATGGCGGCCAGGTAATCCTTCACTTCAGCTGGGGTGAGTCTCCTAAAGCCGGCTTCATTGCAGACCCCAACTTCTATGTTGTCTTCTGTCATCTGCCCTTCAAAGCTTTCCTAATTGAGGAGGGGAGGAAAACGGTCAACTTCACAGAAGTTTTGAGAAAAACCATCATTTTAAAACTATGAGTGGATATGGGCTAACCTTTAGAGTTAAGATGGCTGTGTGAATGGCATCTTCCAGTTCTAGGTCTTCATTATATCTAAAGAAAAATATTGAAAAACAATGATGTTATGGCAGTTTAGATTCTTCATGGCTATTTTAAATAAAAAAATAGCAAAGACATGAAATCTTTTAAAAATCTAACCCTCTTAAAAATACTAGTTGTAAAAGCAGTCCCTCATCATCTCAATGACAGCTTTCCCCAATAATGAAGTGAGTGACACTTCTACTGAACTTCTAACACCATGAAAAAAAACACTTGTATGTTTTAGTAATACAATAAAGTCAAACCATTGCTAAAATCCATTGTTATTATTAGTTATAGCACAGCACGCTGAACACAATCATTAACAAGTAAAATTTAAGATTGAGTTTATAATTTG